TAGACTAGACTATAGTGCAGAGTTTAGATTAGACTATTATTAAACTATAGACCAGAGTAGAGACTATTCCAGACTAAAGAAGATACTATAGTCCGAACAATAGACAGGATTGTAATACAGACCATAAGCTTGACAATAGTCCATATAATAAACTACACTATAGTCCAGGCTGTTGACTGCACTATAGTTCAGACTATAGGCAAGACTATAGGCTAGATTATAGATCAAAGTATAGATTAGACTATAGTTCAGAATAAATACTACACTATAGTCCAGACTGTACAGTATACTATAGTGCAGTTTATAGACTAGTCTATAGATTGACTATAGATTGGATTATAGTTCAGACTATATACTAAACTGTATAATGCTGACTGTAGACAAGACTATAATGCTGACTATAGACAAGACTATAGTGAAGACTATATACTAGACTATAGACTAGATTATAGTCCAGACTATAGACTAGACTATAGTCCAGGCTATATATACCAGACTACAGACTAGATTATAGTCCAGACTATAGACTAGACTATATATTACACTATAGACCAGACTATAGTGGACACTATAGATTAGAGTATAGACTAAACTATAGTCCAGGCTATAGACTAGACTAGACTATAGTACAGATTATAGACAAGACAATAGACTAGATTATAGACCAGACTATAGACCAGACTAAACTGTATAATGCTGACTGTCAGCATTATATTATAGACTAGATTATAGACCAGACTATAGAACAGACTATAGCCTATAGTCCAGACTATAGAATGGACTATAGCCCAGACTATGGACTAGACTGTAGTCCAGACTATAGACTAGACTATAGTCCACACTATCGACTAGACTATAGTCCAGATTATAGACTAGACTAGAGTCCAGACTATAGACTCGACTATAGTCCAGACTATAGACTTGACTATAGTCCATGCTATAGACTAGACTATAGTCCAGACTATAGACTAGACTATAGTCCAGCCTATAGACTAGACTATACTCCAGATTATAGACTAGACTATAGTCCAGACTATAGACCAGACTATAGACTAGACTATAGTCCAGACTATAGACTAGACTATAGTCCAGACTATAGACTAGACTATAGACTAGACTATAGTCCAGACTATAGACTAGACTATAGTCCAGACTATAGACTAGACTATAGTCCAGACTATAGACTAGACTATAGTCCAGACTATATACTAGACCATAGTACAGACTATATACTAGATTATAGTACAGACTATAATCTATACTATAGTCCAGACTATAATCTATATAGACTAGAGTTCCGAATATAGGCTTGGTTATAGTTGAAACTCTATTTCTGATGCAAAATCAAAATCGATTTTAACTACATATATCTGGAACACATGTCTAAATTTTGCACCCGTTAGAGTTTAAAATTTAATTTGCGTTTAAACTATAAAACAATAAATTTAGTTAAATATGCAAAATATGCATTTAGAAGTTTCCGCCCTTGTACTAACAACAAAAACTGAAAATGAAAAAAAAGGAAAGAAATTTATAACAAACACAGTACTATCCCCACAGGGGTTGAAAATATTGATTTTCTGTTTGCAACTCATATTCGAACAGAATTCAAACGAATTGAGCGGATGAATGAATGAAAAACGACATATGAAATCAGAATCATAACTAACAATACAAATGACATACAAATAGTTTGTACTACATATGTGCTCATTTTATTATTAGAAAATTAAAAATGTATTGACTTGTATTGGAGCATAAATAAAAATTTATGGTAAAATATAAAAAAATATATATGAAATAATTAAATTTTACTTTCAATCATTGCAATTTCGAAAAAAGATGTTTGAAATGTTTGAAAGCGGAAAATTGAACAATGACTTTAATAAAATATAATTGAGACCTAGATTTTCCTTTTAATATTGAAAAGTAAAATTTATGGTTAATTTTAAGTCAATAAAAAGTAAATTGTTAATTATAGGGTTTTTAGAAATTTGTGAGAATTTCAAAAATTTATTTCAAAATTAAATATGAAATTTCATGACAAGATCATATAGTAATTGATCCATCTAAATCTTTAGAAAATTAGTTTACCAAACTTTTATAAAACCCCTAAATGTCTACAGTAAATGACAGACAAATAAATATTTTACTTTTAATGAACCATCAAAGTGGAAATATGGAAACCTTTATAATGTTTATAAAATAAGTATAACTTTATTATTCAAGTAGTTGACTGAGTAACTGAAAGCCTGAATGACTGACTGCCAGTCAGACTGCTTGCTCATTTCACCACCACCTTGGAACATGTTAAATTACGGATTACAGAAAAAAATGTTGCATGTATGTGTGATTCGTATATGAAAGATATGACATTTACGAAAAAAAAATTTCAAATGCAATTTACGTAAAATTGTTGTTAGTAAGTTTGAAATGTTTCATAGTATTTATGATTTTCACTTTGTTGTATTTTATACCCCTCAAGTCTCTTACGACATTTAAGGAAAAGTTTTGTATGATTATTAGGAGTAGAGGAAAAACTTTAAAGTGCACAATACTTGTTAGTAGTTGTAGTTAATAAGTTTAACTTGTGCCAAATAACTAAAAAAAACTTAAATCATAGTATAAATGATTTAAAGTTAAACAGTGAGTGCTTAAACGAAAAAAAAATATTAAAAATCATTAAAAATATAGAAAAAATTTAAATACACTAACACTTTTGTCTCACACTGTTATTGTTACTCGAATTTTTTGAACGCAGCGAACCAAGCAGTCAAACTATCCAACTAACGAACAAACTCCATATGTTGGGGGCTCAATTGAAATTGTATTATTCCTCAATATTAGAGTTAATAACCTCTTTATTTCTGTCGGTGTTTTTGGTGGTAGATATAAAACTTTATATTTCGTTTCTAATCTTCAATTGCAGGTGTAATTTGCTTTGTGGTTTCAAGTTTTTTTAAGCTAATTTTTATGTTCAACGTCTTTGACGTTTATTTTAAAATGTTTGAGTTTGATTTCAAAAGAAATGTAGTCTAGTCTAGTCTAAAGCCTTGAATATAGTCAAGTCTATAGCGTAGTCTACAGTGTAGTCTATAGTGTAGTCTATAGTGTAGTCTATAGTGTAGTCTATAGTCTAGTCTATAGTCTAGTTTATAGTCTAGTCTATAGTCTAGTCATAGTCTAGTCGTCTAGTCTAGTCGTCTAGTCTAGTCGTCTAGTCTATAGTCTAGTCTATAGTGTAGTCTATAGTCTAGTCTATAGTCTAGTCTATAGTCTAGTCTATAGTCTAGTCTATAGTCTAGTCTATAGTCTAGTCTATAGTCTAGTCTATAGTCTAGTCTATAGTCTAGTCTATAGTCTAGTCTATAGTCTAGTCTATAGTCTAGTCTATAGTCTAGTCTATAGTCTAGTCTATAGTCTAGTCTATAGTCTAGTCTATAGTCTAGTCTATAGTCTAGTCTATAGTCTAGTCTATAGTCTAGTCTATAGTCTAGTCTATAGTCTAGTCTAGTCTATAGTCTAGTCTATAGTCTAGTCTATAGTCTAGTCTATAGTCTAGTCTATAGTCTAGTCTATAGTCTAGTCTATAGTCTAGTCTATAGTCTAGTCTATGGTCTAGTCTATAGTCTAGTCTATAGTCTAGTCTATAGTCTAGTCTATAGTCTAGTCTATAGTCTAGTCTATAGTCTAGTCTATAGTCTAGTCTATAGTCTAGTCTATAGTCTAGTCTATAGTCTAGTCTATAGTCTAGTCTATAGTCTAGTCTATAGTCTAGTCTATAGTCTAGTCTATAGTCTAGTCTATTGTCTAGTCTATAGTCTAAATGTTTGAGTTTGATTTCAAAAGAAATGTAGTCTAGTTTATAGCCTTGAATATAGTCAAGTCTGTAGTCTAGTCTATAGTCTAGTCTATAGTCAAGTCTGTAGTCTAGTCTATAGTCTAGTCTATAGTCTAGTCTATAGTCTAGTCTATAGTCTAGTCTATAGTCTAGTCTATAGTCTAGTCTATAGTCTAGTCTATAGTCTAGTCTAGTCTATAGTCTATAGTCTAGTCTATAGTCTAGTCTATAGTCTAGTCTATAGTCTAGTCTATAGTCTAGTCTATAGTCTAGTCTATAGTCTAGTCTATAGTCTAGTCTATAGTCTAGTCTATAGTCTAGTCTATAGTCTAGTCTATAGTCTAGTCTATAGTCTAGTCTATAGTCTAGTCTATAGTCTAGTCTATAGTCTAGTCTATAGTCTAGTCTATAGTCTAGTCTATAGTCTAGTCTATAGTCTAGTCTATAGTCTAGTCTATAGTCTAGTCTATAGTCCAAACAATAGTCTAGTCTATAGTCTGGTTATAGTCTAGTCTATAGTCTAGTCTATCGTCTAGTTTATCGTCTAGTCTATAGTCTAGTCTATAGTCTAGTCTATAGTCTAGTCTATAGTCTAGTCTATAGTCTAGTCTATAGTCTAGTCTATAGTCTAGTCTATAGTCTAGACTATAGTTTAGTCTATAGTCTAGTCTATAGTCTAGTCTATAGTCTAGTCTATAGCCTTGTCCATAGCCTAATCTATAGTCTAATTAGTAGTCTAGTCTATAGTCTGTTGTAAGTCTAGTTTAAAAATAGAAATTTATAAATCCTTTGACTTAAATGACCTAGTCCTTAGAGAATCTTAGTTGGTATCTACCTTTTCTGCCGTTTAACTTTTGTTCGTTTTCATCCTTTTGCATTGAAAATATCCTCAATATTCACACACCTTTGACACAAATTCTGCAGGAACAAATTGCAACTGAAAACAATTAAAATAAAATCATATCAACCGTATTGTTTCTTTAAAAGAACAAAATCCCCTAAAGTATGCTATTTTTCCTACAAACAAGACATGCCATAAAGTATGCTATTATTTAATGACAAGCTTCTATTTTAATTTAAACATATAATCCTTATTGTTTAGACACTTTCTGCCAACTAAATCCCCCAAGAATGTACGTTTTAATTAATATATGGTAATTTAATATGCTCCTTCAACTAAAGTTACTCTTCTCTCTGCACCGATACGATGTTTCTTGGCATTTCTTTTCATTTTAAGGCACGACCAAACATTGGCAAATATGTATTCACTTAGAACATACAGCAAACCATAGATACTGATAAAACTGGCACCCAAAAATAGACCAATTGCACCACCAAATGACATGATTAATTGATCTGTACTAAAGACAACACGACGTTTCATAGCCATGCGTGGTAGAAATAGTTTGACTATAATAGTCCTTTCAAATTTTGTCGATTCCTTGAAAAAAAGTAGAAAAGTTTTCCTTTGCACAGTTTGTTTTACATTGTGGTAGTCTGTTGTTTAAAACTTACATCTTTTTGTAAAGTTGTTTGCATGCTAACATAAGTTTCCTCTTCACACAAATTGGGACAATTGCATTGTGCCACTTTGGGCCAATGTTCATGTGCCAAACACAACATACCTTTAATATTACAGACCGGCAAATGGGGTGCCACTACATAGAAATATGGCTTGCAACCACACTTTTGCATGGCCACATTTATACGACATTCTATGCGACACAAGCCAGGACGATAAATCTATTAAAGGAACAACAATGTTGATTTAATACACAAACAAAAAATGGTTAAAAATACAACTACCTCAAAATATTTTAAATTATTTTCATCCTTATAGCGACATTTCCTATAGGCTATGGGTAAATTTCTTACTTCCGTTTCAGCTGTTGTCAGACCCAACAACAGTTCAATGGTCAATGAACCCTCCATGGTGGCATGGCGCATTATTGTGCCCTGATCATAAGGTGCTACAATATCTTCCACATTGTGCAGAAACTTTCAATATTGATTAGAGGGTGTGAATTAAGTTATAGACATGTTTTTACTTACGATTAAAAGACTGGAGTCCACTCCAACTTTCGGAAAAATTTTCGTATTACACTCATTCATTATGTCACAATAGCTAATGCCTGATACTTTTAGGGTTTTTCTGAAGTAAAAACCAAAATTTTGTATCATAACTATTTACTCACACAGGAATCTGATCCAGACAATATATTAGAATAAACTATAGTCCAGACTATAGACTAGACTGTAGATCAGACTATAAGCTAGACTATAGTCCAGACTATAGACTAGAATAGACTATAGTCCAGACTATAGACTAGAATAGACTATAGTCCAGACTATAGACTAGACTATAGTCTAGACTATATACTAGACTATAGTCCAGACTATAGACTAGACTATAGTCCAGACTATAGACTAGACTATAGTCCAGACTATAGACTAGACTATAGTCCAGACTATAGACTAGACTATAGTCCAGACTATAGACTAGACTATAGTCCACACTATAGACTAGACTATAGTCCACACTATAGACTAGACTATAGTCCAGACTATGGTCTAGACTATAGTCCAGACTATAGACTAGACTATAGTCCAGACTATAGACTAGACTATAGTCCAGACTATAGACTAGACTATAGTCCAGACTATAGACTAGACTATAGTCCAGACTATAGACTAGACTATAGTCCAGACTATAGACTAGACTATAGTCCAGACTATAGACTAGACTATGGTCCAGACTGTAGACTAGACTATAGTCCAGACTATAGACTAGAATATAGTCCAGATTATAGAATAGATTATAGTCCAGACTGTAGACTAGACTATAGTCCAGACTATAAACTAGAGTACAGTCCAGGCTATAGACTAGACTATAGTCCAGACAATAGACTAGATTACAGACCAAACTATAGGCTGGACTATATTTAAGACTATAGACTAGGCTATAGTCCAAACTATAGACTAGGCTATAGTCCAAACTATAGACTATACTATAGTCCAGACTATAGACTAGACTATAGACAAGACAATAGTCCAGACTATAGACTAGTCTATAGTTCAGACTATAGACTAGACTATAGTCCAGACTATATACTAGACTATAGTCCAGACTGTAGACTAGACTAGACTATAATCCAGACTGTAGACTAGACTATAGTCCATAGACTCTGGTTCAGACTATTAACTGGACTCTAGCTCAGATTTCAAACTATAGTTTAGTCCGTAGGCAAGGCGATAGTTCATAGTCTGGACTAGACTTTACGCTGCTCTATAGTCTAAACTTACAAGTTTCCAAATGGGTTCGTGTAGCGTGTCAATTGCGAAGTAGTGCGACAAAGTCCAATTTCTGTCATAGCGGCAGCATAAATTTGCTCTCTGCCCTCAACATCAAATGAAGAACCAGGTAATTTTTTATCATTATCAGACGGATTAGCATACTCCATGCGAGGTATAAATTTATGACGCATCTGACAAAAATATAAAAATGTGAAAAAACAGACAAATTTTCTTTCCAAAGCAAATATCTTACAAACAATAACATTTCCAAAAATTTCAAATCATTCAAACTGCTATCATTTTCGTAAGGCTTCAACTTCTCCAGGCTCATGGTATTCAAAGAATTTAGAACTTTCAAAAAATCCGCATAGTACTTATATTGAGTAGCATTGCTTGCTGCTGTTACATCCCAATTTTGGGAAATGACCTCATCCATATCTTCCTGATTCGAAGATTCCGTACATAACGTAATGCCCACAAAAGGAAAATTCGATTTGCCCCATGCCAATTCCATGGCATATACAATGGGATTATCACGAAAACGTTTCCATTGATTGAGGCATATGTCTAAGGAACTGTAGGTGGCTGCAATAATGGCTGCAGCCCAGAAAAGTTTCTCCAACCAATGCAGCTGACGTCGTACCAAATAAGGAAATCCATGTATACTGGATTCTCCTAAAGTTTTATTCCAATATTGTTTGCAATTCATAGTATTTTGGTCGGTTGCTGCTGGGCTTTTTGAACTAACTAACTGTCAAAGTTGAACTGTTTGATGTTTTACATTTGTTCCCAGTTGTATTAGTAGAGTTCTAGAGCAATATATAAAGATGTCCTTTTTTTGTTGTTAGGGATGACATATCTTTTTGTTGTTAATTTGTATAATTGATTTTTATTGTTTTTAAGTAATTATTATATTTGTGTTGGATAGTTTTGGTAACATGTGATTGTATTCTAACACAAACGCCATTAGAAAAACATGTTTGAGCATGCATATTAAATGTAAACAATATCAATTAGCATGCAAGGATGAACGGAACAAGGCATTTACATATAAACCTAGCAAAATATTGGCAATGAAAAGCTCAATAAAGACTAGAATATGGACTAGACTATAGACTAGACTACAGGCTAGACTATAGACTAAACTATAGACTAGACTATAGGCTAGACTATAGACTAGACTATATACTAGACTATAGACTAGACTATAGACTAGACTATAGACTAGACTATAGACTAGACTATAGACTAGACTATAGACTAGACTATAGACTAGACTATAGATTAGACTAAAGACTAGACTATAGACTAGACTATAGACTAGACTATAGACTAGACTATAGACTAGACTATAGACTAGACTATAGACTAGACTGTAGACTAGACTGTAGACTAGACTATAGACTAGACTATAGAATAGACTATATACTAGACTATAGACTAGACTAGACTATAGACTAGACTATAGACTAGACTATAGACTAGACTATAGACTGGACTATAGACTAGACTATAGACTAGACTATAGACTACTACTAGACTATAGACTGGACTATAGACTAGACTATAGACTAGACTATAGACTAGACTATAGACTAGACTATAGACTAGACTATAGACTAGACTATAGACTAGACTATAGACTAGACTATAGACTAGACTATAGACTAGACTATAGACTAGACTATAGACTAGACTATAGACTAGACTATAGACTAGACTATAGACTAGACTATAGACTAGACTATAGACTAGACTATAGACTAGACTATAGACTAGACTATAGACTAGACTATAGACTAGACTATAGACTAGACTATAGACTAGACTATAGACTAGACTATAGACTAGACTAGACTATAGACTAAGACTAGATATAGACTAGACTATAGACTAGACTATAGACTAGACTATAGACTAGACTATAGACTAGACTATAGAGACTAGACTAATAGACTAGACTATAGACTAGACTATAGACTAGACTATAGACTAGACTATAGACTAGACTATAGACTAGACTATAGACTAGACTATAGACTAGACTAATGACTAGACTATAGACTAGACTATAGACTAGACTATAGACTAGACTATAGACTAGACTATAGAATAGACTATAGACTAGACTATAGACTAGACTATAGACTAGACTATAGATAGACTATAGACTTAGCTGACTATAGACTAGACTATAGACTAGACTATAGACTAGACTATAGACTAGACTATAGACTAGACTATAGACTAGACTATAGACTAACTATAGACTAGGACTATAGACCTAGACTATAGACTAGACTATAGACTAGACTATAGACTAGACTATAGACTAGACATAGACTACTATAGACTAGACTATAGACTAGACTATAGACTAGACTATAGACTAGACTATAGACTAGACTATAGACTAGACTATAGACTAGACTATAGACTAGACTATAGACTAGACTATAGACTAGACTATAGACTAGACTATAGACTAGACTATAGACTAGACTATAGACTAGACTATAGACTAGACTATAGACTAGACTATAGACTAGACTATAGACTAGACTATAGACTAGACTATAGACTAGACTATAGACTAGACTATAGACTAGACTATAGACTAGACTATAGACTAGACTATAGACTAGACTATAGACTAGACTATAGACTAGACTATAGACTAGACTATAGACTAGACTATAGACTAGACTATAGACTAGACTATAGACTAGACTATAGACTAGACTATAGACTAGACTATAGACTAGACTATAGACTAGACTATAGACTAGACTATAGACTAGACTATAGACTAGACTAGACTATAGACTAAGCTATAGACGAATTATTTTTTAAAATATGTTCTTACTTTTCTAAACAGAGTTAAGCTATTTAACAAATATAACATTTTGTACCTTAAAAAATTTAGAACAAATATTTAATAGTCATCATATGTTATTGACAAAACATGACCAGTTCCAAAAACAAATATTAAATAGTAACTAACACCTGATCATAAAAACACACAAAAATTTCCTTGACATTGTCCAATCTAAAATCTTCTTAATATTCACAAATCATTCTACGTCAAACGAACTACAAAAAAAACTTGTAGGCCCAATAAATTTTTATAACTGAAGGTTTTTAAAAAAAAACTATAGACTAGACTATAGACTAGACTATAGACTAGACTATAGACTAGACTATAGACTAGACTATAGACTAGACTATAGACTAGACTATAGACTAGACTATAGACTAGACTATAGACTAGACTATAGACTAGACTATAGACTAGACTATAGACTAGACTAGACTATAGACTAAGCTATAGACGAATTATTTTTTAAAATATGTTCTTACTTTTCTAAACAGAGTTAAGCTATTTAACAAATATAACATTTTGTACCTTAAAAAATTTAGAACAAATATTTAATAGTCATCATATGTTATTGACAAAACATGACCAGTTCCAAAAACAAATATTAAATAGTAACTAACACCTGATCATAAAAAACACACAAAAATTTCCTTGACATTGTCCAATCTAAAATCTTCTTAATATTCACAAATCATTCTACGTCAAACGAACTACAAAAAAAACTTGTAGGCCCAATAAATTTTTATAACTGAAGGTTTTTAAATAAAAAATCTCAAGCAAATTCAGCATATTGTTTTGACAAATTTTTTTCTTAACATAAATTTAAAAATTTTAAATTTATTTCCCATGGCGCCAATAGAAAAAACACACATTTTATTAACTATAAAATTTTGCAAAATAAAAGAAAAATAAAAATTAAATTTCTAAATCTGAACATTAAAAACAAAAAATAAATAAATTGTTAAAAAATTTAAATTAAATATTTTAACAGCTGAGTGGCGCCAATAGCCAATAACTAAGTTTTGTAAAATAATAACAAATTTAATTAAAAAACAAAAAATCCACAAAATATATAATTTTTTATTAATGAATAAAATACAACAACAAAACAAACAAGTTTATCCAAAATTTTTATTTTAATGTTTTTAAAATGTTAATAAGTTTTTTTTCTTTTATCATTTATTGCCATTTATGACAAGATTTTTTTATGAGGTGTCAAATTATATTGAAAATTATTGTTTATTGATAAAATTAAGAGAATATCTGATCATCGGATTGTGTCTGCATATTAAGTAAACAATTGATATATTTCACAATAACAATAACTTGATGGTGTGTTCTTTTCAAGTGTGTGTTCTTTTCAAGTATTTTGAAATATGTCAAATATGAAATATTTGTTTATATTGTTTTTTAAGTGCCTAGAGCCAAAATGCGCATATTTTTGATCAGATTATTATGAACTTCACTATATTCCAGATTAAATACTAGATTATAGATCACACCAGACTATATAATCCAGACTAGACTAGTGTAGAAAATAGTTTAGACTATAGTTGTAGAATATAGTCCATACTATAGAGTAGACTAGTTCATACTTTAGCCGAGATTATAGCTTATGATCCAGACTATAGCCGCGACTAAAGACTAAAATATAATACAGTTTATAGTGCTAGATTATAGTACAGCTAGTACCTTAGTTTTAGTCCAGACTATAGAGTATTGTTTAGACTATAGTTCAGACTATAGCCTATAGTCTATATGGACCAGATTTAGTCCAGACTATAGTCCAAACCATAGAGTAGACTGTAGTTCAGACTATAGAGTAGATTATAGTTCAGACTATATAGTAACCTATAGTCCAGACTATAAAGTAGACTATAGTCCAAACTTTAGAGTAGATTATAGTCCAAACAATAGAGTAGACTATAGTCCAGACAATAGAGTAGACTATAGTCCAGACTATAGAGTAGACTGTAGTCCAGACTATAGAATAGACTGTAGTCCAGACTATAGAGTAGACTGTAGTCCAGACTATAGAGTAGACAATAGTCCAGACTATAGAGTAGACAATGGTCCAGACTATAGAGTAGACTATAGTTCAGATTATAGCGTAGGCTCTAGTCCAGACTATAGAGTAAACTATAGTACAGACTATAGAGTAAACTATGGTCTAGCCTATAGAGTAGACCAGAATAGTCCAGACTATAGAGTAGACTATAGAGTAGACTATAGTTCAGACTATAGAGTAGACGATAGTCCAGACTATAGAGTAGACTATAGTCCAGATTATAACGTATACTCTAGTCCAGCCTATAGAGTAGACTATAGTACAGCCTTTAAAGTAGACTATAGTTCAGACTATAGAGTAGACTATAGTCGAGACTATAGACTAACCTAAGTTCTGACTATAGATTAAACTATAGTCTAGATTATAGAGTCAACTATAGTTCACACTATAGAGTAAACTATAATAGTTCAGACTATAGAGTAGATTATAGTACAGTCTATAGAGTAGACTATAGTCTAGACTATAGAGTAGACTATAGTCCAGACTATAGAGTGGACTATAGTCCAGACTATAGAGTAGGCTATAGTCCAGACTTTAGAGTAGGCTATAGTCCAGACTATAGAGTAGACTATAGTCCAGACTATAGAGTAGGCTATAGTCCAGACTATAGAGTAGACTATAGTCCAGACTATAGAGTAAACTATAGTACAGTCTATAGAGTAAACTATAGTCTAGACTATAGAGTAGACTATAGTCCAGACTATAGAGTGGACTATAGTCCAGACTATAGAGTGGACTATAGTCCAGACTATAGAGTGGACTA